AGGGACGGTAGCACTCAGAAGGATGATGGAGACATGGTCAGGGAGCATAATGAGCACCTCCTCCCACACGACCCCACGCTAGGCATGGAAAAGGAAGACTGGTCATAGGGAGCGCAAAGAGGCCAATTTCTGCCCCCAGAGATGTGGCATAGGGGTCCATGGGGGCAAAGAAAGCAGTAAGGTCCTCTGTCGGGGGCCACGATGAACAGGAGCTGAGCACATAGGAGCTGAGCATGTACCCTTAGCCTTGAGCAATGAAGGTGTGGAACTGGCTTCCACTAGAAGTGCGAAAGCATTTCACCTTCTCTAGGCAAGGAATTATAGCTCTGGGAGCGGGCGTCACCCAATGGACTGGGCTATACACCCCTGAAACCCAATCCCTCGCCTCATTTGGGTGGAACTTTCTCGAGTGTCTTCCCCCCAATAAATAGGTTTTCAGGCATGCTCTCTCTCTCTTTCGCCTGCCTCTCTGGCCTCCCTTGTGGGAGCTAGAGTAGAGGAGCCGTCACTGGACCCCAAGAAAAAGGAATTTTCTCTGTCTCTGTGTGCTTATTTAGTGCCAGTCCAATTCACCTAGAGTGATCCTGACTGATTTAGTCATGTGTTGCAGCAGTCCTCAGGGTATATGGAATAGGAGAACTCTCCACTAGTCCCACAGGAGACCCCATGTTTCTTACCTCTGCATCATTAATATAGTGAACCTCATCAAAGATGACCCACTCCAGATCCCGAATGACATCAGAGCCACTGTACAGCATGGAGCTGGGAAGAAGAGCAGAAAGCTGACTCCTTAGAGGCTCCCATCTTCACCTTTGGGTTCTCTAGAGCAGCCTCCTCTACCTACCCAAAACCCACCATGTTGGGTGCCCCTTTCTCACCGGAGGATCTCTGTCGTCATGATAAGGCAGGAGGCCTCTGGGTGGAGCTGCACATCCCCAGTGAGAAGCCCCACATCCCCAAATGTGTTTCGGAAGTCCCGGAACTTCTGATTGCTCAGGGCTTTGATAGGTGAAGTGTAGATGGTGCTGGGAAGAGGTGTAAAGTCAGCCAGAGTCTCACACAGACCCATGGTCAGCACTTGTTCTGAGCTCTCCCAAGTCCACATCCCAGAGGCTGTGATGCTCCCCTTCTTTACCCAAATGCCCTCACATATTCCTTCATGATACGACTCCAGAAAAACTTAGTCTCCTGGGCTGGGGCTGTAGCTCAGTGGTGGAGCACTTGCCTAGCATGTGTGAGGCACTGGGGTCGAGCCTCAGCACCACATATAAATAAATCAATAAAAATAAAGGTCCACTGACGACTGAAAAATATATTAAAAAAAAAAAAAAAAAACTCTGTCTCCCATCTCTTCCTATAACCCAGGTCATCTTTCTAAACTTTCTCCCCACCACACCTTCTCATTTCTCTCTGGGCCCCATTTCAGTCTTTCCTGAACCTCCTTTATAAAGGATGAGGCAGACAGGTGTGGGAGAGATGAGGTCCAGACAGGATGCAGGAAAAAACAGGGCTGGTTGGTGAAGGGAGAGGAGGGTACTTATACCGTGTCATGTGTTTCTGGGCCAGGGCAATGGCATATTCAGCCACAACTGTCTTCCCTGCAGATGTGTGAGCTGCTACAAAGACAGAGTCATGTTGTTCCAAGTGCAGGATGGCTTGTTTCTGAAACACATCTGGCTCAAATGCCCACTGTGAGAGAGAGAAATTGATGGGCTGAAGAAGAGGACTTCTGCTCATGGACATACGGGAGACAGGGACAAAGTTCAGAGTGGGGTGAAGCTGGGACTGAGGACTAACACCGGTCTGGAGGTACAAGGCCTCTGGTGGGGAAAGAAGACAAGGGGTAGGCTGGGAGACAGGGCCAGAGTCTGAGTCACCCAAAGATGAAAGAACATGTGAGGACTAGGGTTCAGTACCTGGAAGGCTGGCTGGGGAATAAGACGATAGAAATCACCAACAGGGGAGGTGACATCTACAGGAATGGCCCACTGCTCCTGAGGTGGAGGTTTGGGAGGCTCTGGCGGGGATATGACTGTGGATGCTTCCTAGGAGTGATAAAAGGTACAGCCAAAGAGCTCTCAAAGATCACTCCTCCCCAGAGATACTTCATTCTTCCCAAAGATGCTCCATTCCTCCCCTAGACCCAACCTAGCCATCCCACCCTCCCTATGGCAAGGCCCCTTCTTTCTTGCCTCCATTGCCCAGAACCACCAACCTTTAACACTAGGTCCTCCAAGCTGCTTGCCCGGGCCAGGGGAACACTGCAAGTAGAGGCTGAAACACTGTCCCCTCTGGGACCTTCAGACTCTCCCTTTGCCTCGCCCTCATCCTCATCACCCACTCCCAAATCTAGAGGCTCCAGCAGACGGCTAAGGCTGAGTAGCCCGGGAGCTGGAGCTGGGTGATCTGAGAAGCAAAGCAAAAAGAGCAACCTTGTCACATCCATCTCTATCCATTGAAGGGTGCCACTGTAAAACCTCATAAAACTCACCCTTGGGGGCAAAATTCACGCCTTTCTTAAAGCCAGGTGGAATGGTGAGAAGATCTGGAAGCCAGGAGTAAAGAGACAGAATCAAGGTCACTGCATGCTGTTATAGATAACAGATATCTGCCATACAGATGTTTATAGATGGGTATGTCTGTTGTGACCATTTCCCAACAGATGACAATAAAGGTTGTTATTGAAAGGTCACTTTTCCCTTTGTTTGTTTGTTGGTCGGGGCAAGGGGGAGCTTTCATAAAACACAAAAGCATGGAAGGGCTACCAGCAGCCTAGTGACAGGGCTGCCTGGGCCCCTCTTCCTCGGGGCTCAGATGCAGAGCTTCACCTCACCTTTCTCAAAGTCTATATCCTCCTCAGCCTCCTCACAAGTGCTCAGATCTGTTATGGTGGGCTCATCCATCCCACCTGAGAGGGTAGACAGATAGGGATTCATGGAATGAGTAAAACAGGATGAGTGGGGAACCTTTCCCTGAAGACTAAGGACTCCCTCTCCTACCACCCTGTCTCCACAACAGTCACCTGGCCAGAAAGGGTACTGTGTTGGGTTCCCCCATAGAGACTGGGAGACTGGCCCTGGAGGCCGGCGAAGAGATAAGGAGGTTGTGGCTGACAGGTTTGTGTTCTCCAGCAGGACCTGAGGTAAGATATCAGAACCCCAGTGAGGCCGAGCTTGCCTCTGACCATCTTCTCCCAATTCTACTTCTGGAAGCCCCTGATCTTTTACCTCCTTGTAGCCCAGGATCTGGCCTGTTGTTGGGTGTCTTTGGGCCTGAAGGTCAGATGGAACTGGAGCCCCGGGGGCAGCCAGGAGTGACCAGGGATCTGTCTTCCTCTGCCATTTTCTGAAAAGAAAGGAAATAATTTTCAAGTCTTCGCTCTCTCTGCCCCAGCTTCCTTCACTGACCCGTCTCCCTAGTCTTGACCCCTCCAGTCTCCTCACCGAGCTGAATGCTCCACACCATGCAGTGGCAACCAGGCTGGAGAGGACAGAAACAACTGTTCTGCTTCTTGGTGCAGATCTGGGGCACAGGGAGGAAGGCCATGGGGAAGCTGGAACCAAGGTAAGATGAGAGGCATTAGGTCAGGAAAAAGAGTAACGTGAAGAGATGGGGATATAATTCAATCGGTAGAGTGCTTGCCTCGCATGCACAAGGCCCTGGGTTCAATCCCCAGCACCAAAAAAAAAAAAGAGTAACATGAAAAAAAAAATGATAAGATTTGTGTTTAGGTCAGAAATAGTAGATGTCCCAGACAGTCCAGGTTCATCAGGCAGAAGCAATGTTTCCTAAAAGTTGTCAAAACACTACCTGCTACTAAATTATCTGAGGTACAGACTTTGGATTTCACAATCATTCCCACCCAAAAGTTGCATTCTTTTTTTTTTTTTCAAATATTTATTTTTTTAGTTGTACACAATACCTTTATTTTGTTTTATTTAATTTTTTTTATGTGGTGCTGAGGATCGAACCCAGAGCCTTACATGTGCTAGGCAAGCTCTCTACTGCTGAGCCACAACCCCAGCCCAAGAGTTGCATTCTTTTTTTTTTTTAAAGAGAGAAAGAGAGAGAGAGAGAGAGAGAGAGAGAATTTTTTAATATTTATTTTTTAGTTCTCGGCGGACACAACATCTTTGTATGTGGTGCTGAGGATGGAACCCAGGCCGCACGCATACCAGGCGAGCACGCTACCGCTTGAGCCACATCCTCAGCCCCAAGAGTTGCATTCTTAAAAAGCTCTTCTGATAATCATGAAGTACACTTAAATTTGATAATCATTAGTTTTAGAAAAGGCATGCCAGACCTAAGGATGAAGAGACAGGGACTCAAAAGATAGCATCACAGCCACAAAGTGAACTTGTTCTTGAGGACAGGGAACTCCAAGAAAAGGACACATTTCAATGAGTATCTCTCAGAACTAAGGCATTTCCAGCACTCCCAGCTCCATCCTCAGATGGGCTCTGACCCACTACAGGTCCACTGAGCTAAGATTTGCCCGGCATCAGCAGGGGGCCCAGATGACAGTGGCCAGACACAGGGCCCAGATGACAGTGGCCAGACACAGGACAGGGAGGTCATGCTAGATCCTACTGAGGAGGGTGGAGGAAGTTTTAGGCTCAATGCGGGTCAAAGCTTGGGGTCAAACGTCACTCACGGTGCTCTCTGGAGTCCCAGGCACGTTCAGCAGCTCCCAGCGCCCTGTGCATCCCAGTTCCACGGTCCGAAGCGGCAGGTTCAGGGGGTCGGGGGAAGGAAGCACTAGAGAGCAAAGGTCAGAGGTCAAAGGTCAAGAGTCATTCTCAGTCTACGACTCGGTTCCACCTCCCTCCCCCTCACCAAGTCTCTCGGTCTCCAACATCCCGGAGCCAGACAGCCGGCCCGCAGCCTTGAAAGGCAGCGAGTAGTTGCAGGCAAGCCCCGCCCCTAAATGGGCGGAAGTAGAGGCGACTTCCGGTACACACCCCCGCCGGGAGCGTGGACCAGCGCGGCCAAGGGGCCCGACCTGGAACAGGAGAAGGCCGGGCGGAAGTGCCTGCGCCTCCGCCGCCTTGGTTACCGCGTTCTCAGCCCCTGCTACGTCATCGCTTAGAGCCCGCTCTCAGCAGCCAGCGCTGGCGCGGCCCGAGACCGTGGGGCTCCAGTTGCCGCCCCCTCAGGTAAGGTCTTCTCTTCACCCCTCGCCCCTTTTTTCGGAGCCCCTTCTATTTTCTTCCCCTTTTTCTTGCACTAAGAGAGCTGCGCGGGTTCAGCCGCCTCCTCTGCTGTCCAGACCCCGCTGTTGGCCATACTAACTCAAATGGGGATGGGGAGTCGGGTGCCATCACCTTGGTGACGGAGTCGGTGTTTTTCCCTCCCTGAGCCACGTGGTACCCCAAGGCTCTGATGTCTGATCCTTGGAGACAAGAGGAAATGCTGGTTGATACAACGACCGGGAGCTTGGACCACAGCCTGGTTTAAACAAGGGGTAGAGAAAGGCCAAAGGCAAAAGTAGGCAGGCCTGGAAGGGTGGGTTGGAGTATAGGGTGGACCGCGTGTGAACCCCGGGTGGTGAAAGTGGAGAAAGATGTCTTGGGCCCTGCCCTTGAACCAGGAGCCACCATGTTGGTGATACCCCCCGGACTGAGCGAGGAGGAGGAGGCTCTGCAGAAGAAATTCAACAAACTCAAGAAAAAGGTGAGGGAGTGTGTGGGGGCATATCCCAACCTTTCAGATTCAGCACTCCAAGAACACCGGGGTGAGTGTGAGGGGATGGGGGGTTCCAGCTCACACCTGGAGACATCACCTCTCCATGTAACTTCAAAAGGTGGGCTTTCTCAAGTCTTGGTGTGACTTTTTCCTTTTTCTATGCAGTCTTTCATGGAATTGTCATCTTTTTCTGGGGCTTTTAATACCACCACACTTCAGACTGGTAATTCCCAAGTTTAGATTTTCCAGTTGCATCTGTTGCCTTACTTATAACCTTTAGGGACCCAGACTGAAATTATTATCTTCCTATCTAATCTAGTCCTTTTTCTTGCTCTTGCACATAGAACTGACTATGTTCAACTCTTTTGTGTTTGAACTCAAAAATCTCATCTCTGACTTCTGCACCATTTGCAGAGCCAAACAGTTTTTTCCCCCTTTTCTTTTTGAGATTGGGGTCTCACTATGTTGCCTGGGCTAGTCTCCAATTCCTAGGCTTAAGTGACCCTCCTGTCTCAGACTCCTGAGTTGCTGAACTACAGGCACACACCACCATGTTCAGTGTGCCAAGTCTTCTTGATTCTTCTTTCAAAGTAATTTATCCTGTCTATTCATTCCCATGAATTTCTCATTGCACACCGTTGCACCTAGGCTGTTAGAATGGTCTTCAGTCTTTTTTTTTTTTTTTGAACAAACATTCACTCCTATTAAAATGATCTATTTTGTCCTCAAAATTCATGAGTGATTTCACATGTATACAACAAAGCCCCAAAACCTTAGGTTGACATTGCTGTCTAATCAAGCATAACTGTTTACTACTCAGAATTCATTCCCCGAAACCGTCTTTTCTCTGCATCTTTGTTTTCTTTGTCTAAAATACTTTTCTATTTGTATTGGCTTCGATTCTACTCGGGGCCCAGTTTAGTAGCCACATAAGCATCAGAAAGTCTTATTTGTATTCAGCTACAAGTAATCTACATCTTTTATAATCATTCTTGGCATTCAGTCTAGTCATTTCATCTCCTGGACTGTTAAGCATAGGAACCATGTATTTACTTCTGTATATCTCTGTTACAAAGTCATGTCTGGACTTCCTTAAATATGTAAGGAATGGGTAGGTGAACACCCCCACAAAGGCACATAGGCTTATACTTACTTGCAACTTATATCCTGGGGCTCCAATCCATGACTGGATTCATTTTCATCAACTTAAAAAATGTGAGACTCTGGAAAGCCTCTGGATACCATGGTTTGGTTAAGTATTGCTGGTATTGTACATGATTTGGGGGATCAGATATGAGAGGCAGGGATACCTCAATGCACCACTCCAGGGGTACCATTTGCATTGTCTTCTTCAAGGAAGGTGTCCCTGGAGTGTTGTACCCAGGGGCCTTGGGAAAAGACTTGGCCTGACTGACCACTGTCTTCTCATCATTCACAGAAAAAGGCATTGCTGGCTCTGAAGAAGCAAAGTAGCAGCAGCACAGCCAGCCAAGGTGGCGTCAAACGCTGTGAGTGACAGGAAATGGAGAGGATTAGAAGTGGGCAGTGTCGGCCTGACCTGTACCGCAGCCAACATAATGTCTGTTTCCTTCACTACTCCAGCACTGTCAGAGCAGCCTGTGGTGGACACAGCTACAGCAACAGAGCAGGCAAAGCAACTGGTGAAGTCAGGGGCTATCAGTGCCATCAAAGCTGAGACCAAGAACTCAGGCTTCAAACGTTCTCGAACCCTAGAGGGGAAGCTAAAGGTGTGCACAAGCAGGATTGTTCTTGGGACCTTTGATTTCAGAGAGCATCTCTCCAAGTTAGAAGGGAGATAGGTTTAGGGGGAAAACAATGCATATTTAGACATGGGCAACTTATTATACCAACTGAGCTTTGGGGTTTCCTTTTTTTTTTTTTTTTTTCCTTTTCTTTTCTCTCTGAGATGGGTCTCCCTATGTTGCCCAGGCTGATATTGAACTCTTGGGCACAAGGGATCCCACCTCAGCTTCCCAATAGCTGGACTGTAGGTGTGACCCACCACACGTGGGAAGAGCCTTAGGTTTCTTATTTGTAAAGTGAAAAAAAACTAGGTGAATCCTATTGTCTTCTCTGTTTTATACATTCTGTGATTCTAATCCACGTGAGGTTAGAGCTCTTAAAATGTGTTGCTCCAAGAAGTTGAACAGGCTGAAAACATCATCAGATTCAAGGTAGCGGTTAAACCAGGTACTTTACATGTATGTCAGGTCATTTATTTTAAAAACTACACACAATCAGATAAGAAGTATATGTAGCATTAAAAGAAAAGATCAGAAGTCAAGAAGAGAGTGAGGGAAGAGTAGCCCCTCTGTCTCATGGTTAGGCAGCCTCCTGTTCCAACACTGACATAGGCTTCTACCACCTCTTCAGGACCCTGAGAAGGGGCCAGTCCCTACTTTCCAGCCCTTCCAGAGGAGTATATCTGCTGACGATGACCTGCAGGAGGTAATGGTTCCAATTTGCCATCCCTGAGCTGGGGATTGAGGAAGACGAGAGACCCCATATTAACTATTCTTGATTTCTTTTTCAGTCATCCAGACGTCCCCAGAGGAAATCTTTGTATGAGAGGTTAGAGAACTAGACTGGGTCCCACTCAGTGTGGGGGTTGATTGCCTAGTCCTTGGGATGGTTGGGACTGGAGTTAAAAAAAAAAAAATAGTTTGTGGAGGGTGTGTTGAGTCTCCACAGGGTCTGGGAGGAGGAAGTAAAGGCCCTCTTTGAATTATATTGTCTGTTTCTCTTCAGCTTTGTATCTTCTAGTGATAGACTTTGGGAACTAGGGCCAGATGGAGAAGAAGCAGAGGGCCCAGCGTCTGGTGATGGTCCCCCTCGAAGCTTTGACTGGGGCTATGAAGAACGTGGCAGTGCTCGCTCCTCAACCTCCCCTCCCCGAAGCCGGGACCGCAGCCACGAGAGGAACCGGGACAGAGACCGAGATCGGGAGCGGGACAGAGATCGAGATCGGGACCGGGATCGAGATAGAGACCGAGATCGAGATAGAGACAGGGATAGAGATCGAGATCGAGACCGGGACAGGGATAGAGACCGAGACCGAGAGGGCCCTTTCCGCAGTGAGTGATCTTGGCTGGCAGGATGGGTGATCTCAGCTCAGACTTGGGTGGGTGCCACTAAGGTGGAAGGTGAAATGGACTGTCTTGTGACTGATTGCGAATCCCATAGGGTCAGACTCATTCCCTGAACGCCGGGCCCCTCGGAAGGGGAACACTCTGTACGTGTATGGAGAAGACATGACACCCACTCTCCTCCGAGGGGCCTTCTCTCCCTTTGGAAACATCATTGACCTCTCCATGGACCCACCCAGAAAGTAAGGATGGCCACAGGGCATGATAAGAAGACCTGGGATGTAAGGCCTAGGGGAGGAAGCTGCCCTGTTTCCAGCAGCCTGTGAGCACTGGGTTTGGTTGGGTCCAGCAGAGCCCAGAGGCCTTCTACTGACTCTGTTTTTTTCTCATCCCAGCTGTGCCTTCGTCACCTATGAAAAGATGGAGTCAGCAGATCAGGCCGTTGCCGAGGTTGGGACTTCCCAGACCTGTTCTTCCCATCCCTTCTGCCAGCTTCATGTTTTCTTCTTAAAATACTTGAAAGCCAGGAGGAAATTGGTTCCTTTTGACAGGAAGTCTCTTTCTAGTCACACAGAAAAACTTAAAATTTCAGATCCTTATTTATCTGCTTCTAGGATAGTAGCCCCTGGAATAGCTTCTCTGGGTTATCTGTAATGTTTCCCCTATCCTCTGTACCCTATCATCTTCTACTACAGCTCAACGGGACCCAGGTGGAGTCCGTACAGCTCAAAGTCAACATAGCCCGAAAACAGCCCATGCTGGATGCTGCTACTGGCAAGTCTCTCTGGGGCTCCCTTGGTAAGAACAGGAATCTTCCTCATTCCCCCCACAAACTATCCCTTTTTGTTCCCTTGCATATCCCTGGATTCCTTAGAGGTAGTAATGGTCAGAATTTTTATGGAGGCTATGGGAATAGAAAGGAGAATTGCCAGGCCCTCCATCAGCTAGGGGTAAGGGGAGGAGAGAAGAGTATTGAAACCAAAGCAATGACTGGAACAGGGAAGAAAGTGGGAGCCAAAGTCAGGTTAGTAGGGAGATGAACAGTTCATGAGACTTGTGCATTCTGAGCTGGAGTACAGCAGGCTTCATGAAACTTTGAAATTAAGAGTCCAGAACTCAAATGTGAAGTGAGGAATAAAAATGGTTTCGAGTCATTTGCATCTTGGGATGGCTACAAAATGATAGTATCATTAGGAAAACTGATTTTGGAGAAAAGAGTGACCCAGGACTAATTTGGGGACTGTTCAGGGAATATGTTAGGAAGGTGGACCAGGCTCCTTGTGCCCTACATGTCCCTAGCAGCCCTGACATGTTAGGTTGAGGATTCAGCAAAGAAAACAAGAAGTGTCCAACACTAGCAACAGCATCAGAGACCCTAGGCCACTAAAGCCAAAGGACACAGGCTTCAAGAGGGATAAGTGGTCAGTGGTAGGAGACGCAAGAGAATGGGAGTTGGTGTGGAGAGACTTGCTCTAGCCCTCAGGTAGGAGGGATGGAATCCTGATGAAGGAAAGAAAGAGAAAGGGAAAAAAGGACCAGAGGCTCAAGAGAGTATGCTGAGAGCCAAAGTTACCCCTTAAAGGAGTTCTGGTGGGGCCAGTAACATTTCTTACTGTGAATGACCCATTTTACCTGAAAATAGATTTTCCTGGGAAAGAAGTAAGCAGGAGGTAGGATTTGGACACTAGGAAGGATCCAGAATTGATCAACAAAGGGCTACAGATTTCTGATTTTTAATTTTTGATGTATTGACTAAAAGCAGTAGGTTAACATCATTCACATGTCTCAGTAATGATAACATTTGAGGATTTTCTAAGAACAAAACATTCATCACAATAGCCACATGCTCTGCAATAACATCACACTCTTGATTGTGATAGGTTGACCACAACCAACCTGAAGGAGCTAAGAGGAGACAGGCCATCCTGTCCACCAGAGGGCAGCATGAGAACTGGGCTTCCTGGGGACAGAGGCCAGAGTGAGGTAGTCAGGCTCTAGGCCTCAGGTCTGACTCATGATCTCCTTCAAACCTTAATTGTTACTCTTTTCCCTCTCTAGCTGTCCAGAATAGCCCTAAGGGTTGCCACCGGGACAAGAGGACCCAGATTGTCTACAATGATGATGTCTATGAGGAAAACCTTGTGGATGACTTCTAGGGAATGGAGCTGGATTCCTTGTGCCTCATACGCCCCCAATGCTGGTCTCAGTAAAACACTGAGGTGGAAGCTCACACACCTTCCTCAGCCTCTGGTTTTTCAGCACTTGGGATTGGGGTTAAGCCTTTAAAAACGGCTGTCAGATTATATTTCAGTTGTTAACATCGTCAGTACACATCCCCCGCTCCTTTACCCCACAAGGATCTGGAACACAGTTATTATTGCAGCTGTTTTAATTTGATCCCATGCCCCTTTCCAGCAGGAAAACCCTCATAGAAAACCCAGATCCTCATCTTTGAGTTTCTCCTTGAGCCAGGGCAGGACTTGGAAGAGATTGACGTGAAAGTCCCGGGCGTGAGCAGGTACCTGCTGTTGCAGTCTGTGGTCTTTGCAGACATCCACTACTCCCCAGCTGATCACACCAACCTGCAGAGGTGAGGGGATGCTATGGATCATTTTGTAGAGTTTCATCCTAATGTCAGGAAGCATGGTTATCCCAAGTGCATCTGAGCTGATCCAAGGGAATGAGACTAGATATCCAGCTCAACCCTGTTCTTGCCTTGCAGGCCAGACACATAACGCTAAAGTGATCAGTTCAGAGACTAACTCTAAGGTTAGGCGGGCTCTGTCCTTCTGTTACCAGCTATGTTCAGTGAGCTTTCCTGCTTTGGGGTCCATGCTGACCATTTAGCATCTCCCCACAAATAGGAAAGGGAGTACTCACTTGAATGAAGCGACTTTTCTTGTGAATAATCAGAGGACCACCAGAGTCACCTGTAGGAGAGAAGCTTTAGGGAAAGGACAATTGGGCCTCAGGAACTTATAAGAACCAGACTCCTCTCACCTTTGCAAGTATTGGGATCAGCATAGGGATATACCCCTCCAGTGCAGAGGAACCTAGGGGTGACAACTTCTGAGATATCCTTGACTTTATCATAGCCTGGAGCATATTGAGCATCTCTCTCACAGCTGGCTTTCTAAAGGGGAGCATGGGGGAGAAAGGGATGATGAACAAAGCCGACTTAAGACAGGCCCTTAGGATTTCCCCATTCCTCACCTTATCTCCATTCTTGATGTAAACCTCCTTTCGAGTCAGCTTTTTCTCTTCCTCAGAAACGAACATTGCTTTGACATCCTTGACAGGGAGCAGCTCTTCCTCTGAACAGGTGGACAGACTGGGTTACTCCAGTTCTCCCCTCCCACCCCATTGCTTCTGTCTTAACAGATGTCCTTCAAGCCCTTCCTGAGCTAGGCATCATTTGCTCCTACTACACCTCCCCCTCACATCTCCTGGAGTCTTATCTTTGTCCCATCCCAGAATATGCCTTACTGTGTTGCTTGCAAGTGGCTGTCTGAGGGAGTCGTAAAGCTCGAGTTGTTCCCTCGGTGCAGGGCAGACAAATGGGCCTGTTACAGAGGTGAGGACAGTCAGGAGCAGCAAATGGCCTGCCCTGCACCCCTGTCCTCCAGCCCACCTTCCCCAGCCTCCTTTCCTCAGGCACCCAGATTCTCTCACCTAAGAGTCTGGCTGTACTTCAGTTTATTCTTGAGCTTGATCAAGGCAACATCATAGTCATAAAATTCAGAAATTCCTTTTTCCTTTTTCCCATTGATGTTGTAGTTGGGGTGAAATAGGACTTCTTCTATCTCCAGGTCCTGCCTCTTCCCTCCTGATGGGGGAAGAGAGGGCAGCCTCCTGACTCTGACCCAGTGTCATCCTGACTTCTGGTTTTCCCTACCCCTAACTTTTTAGAGGGAAGGGCAGAGTTCGGGGTGGCAAGGAAGTGGGAGGTATGGCCGGAGCTCAGGGCCCATCTGCTGCGTCCTTACCCACGCTGACCTTGATTGAGTGTTTTTGGTCATCCACAGTGAAACAGTGTGCCGCTGTCAGCACAAAGTACTCAGACACCACAGCCCCCATACAATTCTCATGTCCCTTCAAAGGGCGCTGGGAACAGAACAGTGAAGGGGGAAAAGCCAGTCTGATGTGCATATTTTGTTCTTCCTCTGCCCTCTTTGCCCCTTCCACCTCCCCTCCCACAAGTACCTACTAGGATATAGTACTTACAGTGACTGAGATCTTGGCATGCCATGGTTGCTTGTGGTAATCAGTACCTTTCCTGTGTTCCCAAACCATGCCACAGAGCCCCAGAGTCTGGGTTTCATCTAGCCGAAAGGAAAGTGTGCTGAAAGCTAGAGACCCTTCATCCCCAAGTGGCAGCAGCCATTTTAGAAGGAATCCCCACCCCCCACCCCGCATGTCTATGGGGAACAGAAGCCCACATAGAGAAAAAGGCTGAGAGCATTTGTTATGTTAGGAAACAAGAAAACACTGGGGTAGTGAAAGGCCTTGGGACCAAATCAGGGACCTGCTGTTTTCAGACCCACTTTTGTTGCTAGCTTTCATTCCCTTAGTATCAATTACCACATTTGTAAAATGAAGTAGAAAGTCCTGATGTTGCTGTAATTCTAAGATCAGGAAGTGGACAGTGGCAGGAAACAAGAACAGTGACATAGAGGAATGAGAAAAGGCTTCCAAGGTCTGGGAAATATCAGTTGTAGAATGCGTGTCTAGCATGTGTGAGGCCCTGGATTCTATCCCCAGAAAGGAAGGAAGGGAGGGAAGGAGGAGGAGGTAGAGGGAAATGAGCAACTTGATGAGATCTGAGTTTCCTAATATTCGTCTTATGCTTTTGTATGTTCTTACCAATCATTTGGTAGAAAACATCCTCCAGATTTTCCATGTCCTTGACTTTGAACACATGCTGCTCATTGTCCTTCTTGGAAGCCAAAGCATTGATGTTCACTTGGTCCACCAGAGGCCCGACCCCAAACACATATACGTCTAAGGAAGGAAAAGGCAGAGTAAGGGTCCAGGCCCTGAGAAAGCATGATGCTAGGTCTTTGGCAGGTCACTCACCCAAATAATCCTCCCTTGGGTTTTTGCGATCCCTGCCAATGTCCAGCAAGTCCCGGATCTCACCAATAATAGTGACTGGATCCCCACCCATGTTGTACAAGCCTGCAGAGAAGACAAGGACCATGTGGGCAGGAGAGGAAAAGAATCAAAAAACATTAATTGGGGAAGGCAGTGACAACACACATAGCTGAGTAGCAGGTTGGAGATGGGATGGAGGTGACAGATCATAGAAGGCCTTGGGGAGAAGGATCCCACCTTTAAAAGGGTCATTGGAAAACTCAACAGCCAGCTATGAGCAGTGTTCAGGACCCCAACTCAAGTGTTACATGTAGATTTGAGGGTGGGGAGTCTGGGTAGGAAAAAGGTCCCTTCTGACCATCAGTCATCAGGATGATGACGTGGCGAGTACGGTTCCAGCCTTCAGGGGGGACATCTCCTGCCCAGTTCATCATGTTGTACACTGCCTGGAGGGCCCTCTTGGTATTAGTCCCTGTCTTCAATTTGTGGTCTGTAGAAAGGGAAAAGGTCATCACCTCACCTGGTCTTCCAAGCCATCCTTGAGCCTATCACAACTGAGATCCCACATCCTTCATCTTTGTGGATTGTCATCCCTTTGACTACAAAATTGCCCTATCAGCACCCAATATGTCCCCACTAACCCCCATTACCCAGTAACCCTGCCATCCATCTTTAACTACAATGTATGGTACCTGCCCCTGCCCCCTCTACCCCTTCCCCCATAATATCTCTGAGGCTTCTGACTTCTCTGACCCCCCAGTTAACCTGAGAGCTTCCCTTTCTTAACCTCTGACCTTCGTAACTGATTTGGTTGAGTTTCTCTGTGACCCAGTCTGCATCGCTGCTCTTTTGATCAGACACTCTGATCACAACTTTGGGTTCTGTGGCATATGTCACTAGAGCATATCTTGGCCTCACCCCATAACTTGCTATCTGTGAATGAGAAGAGTAAGAGGTCATGGCATTGAAAGTACAATATTATAGTTAGAAAAATTCAGCACCTTTTTTGGGACAGAAAGACCACAGTAAGAAGCTCAGGCTGAAGTTCATGGAGGAGGCTGTGCCAAGCATTAAATTACCACTTCACCTTAAAAGGAAAGGACAGAATAGGACCTGGAGATTTTACTGGGATGCTGTGGTTCAGAGAGACAGGGAGCACAAAGGAACTTAGTCCTGGAAGGGCAGCAAGGTCCAGTCAGGATCCCCACATTCAAGGGGAAGGGGATTCCACCTTCTCAATTAAGTTGGCGAGACACCTCTTAGCCCCTGTGAAGTTGCCGGTCCCAATGCTGTCAGATCCATCCAGCACCAGGTAGATGTTCATGGAGCCTGAGGGATCCAGGACAATCTTCCGCTTCTGTTGTTCCCCTGGATGCCAGCAGAGAGACTCAGGATTCAGGATGCATGTTTCTCCTGCAACTCCCCCAATTCCCTGCTCTTCCTCCCAACTCTGCTCAAACCTGGGCTGTGCCCATCCTCAGCATCAGCTCCTTCTATGGTCTCTGTCAGGGAAGACAGGAAGGCTTCGGCCACCTCTTGAGGGGTGTCATACATGAAGGTGTCTGGGAAAGGTCAGAACTCAGGTCAAATAGCTGAAGGGTCAAGGACAGTGACCAGAAAGACAGGATGATGCCTTTCTAGGATGGGAAGGGCTTGGAAGTGAGAAAGCTCTACAGAGTTTGGAAGAAGTGAGGAGAAGCTGGGTTGAAGAGAGAAGGAGACAGTGCCTTGCTGTGGGAACATTAGGACTGGAGAGTAGGATCTGACCTGGGAGCCCAAGTCAAGACTCACCTTGGCAGGAAGGCTCTGTCCCACTCCAAGATCCACCTTCCTGGCATTTTCGCTGTTGGGAGCCACGCAGGGTAAGCCCCCGGCTGCAGTGGTAAGTGACTGTGTCTTCAAGGCGGTACTGGCTTCCCACCTTCCTTGTGCCAATGGGAATGCCCGGGTTTGGGCAGTACCCCGCTGCAGAGGCCGAGAGGGCAGGTCAGAGAACAGTTGTGATGCCTGTTCCTTGGGGATGGATGTGTAAGGGAGAGAGTGTGGTCGACAGGAGCAGGCAGGCTTCTCACCTCCATCATCGCAGATTGCTGTTTGCCCATCCCACCGGCCATTTACTTGGCAGGTGCGATTGGC